AATCTATCTCGTTGTGAAAGGGCTGTCTTACACTTATCCCAAACAGGCCAGAAAATTAATAAATTAGAGATAGGCAATGCCACAGATGATAAATTATCTACAAAGAATTCTCTCTACTTAGAAGCTGGAGCTTTTACAAACTTGCATAACCCCATCCAAAACACAAAACAAATGCATTCTTTATATAAGTTGAAACCAAGAAAATGTTTCCCATACATATTACTGTGCGGAAGAATTTCATAATTAAAAAACCCACTGAAATCAAGTGTAAGAGTCCTCAAATACAGCACAGAGTCCTAGAAAAACAATGCACTCATCCTGTGCAAATGGCACAGCTATCAGAACAGGTGTCTGTGGAGGCTATTTAAAGTATTGACTTCATAAATTAGAAATGAAGAAGCCTTTAAAATGAGTACAGATAATGGAAACAGTGCAAACTGAATTAAGGAAAAGAGGGGACACGGATCTATTTTTCATGATTCTCCAATAACAGGGAGAATCACCAAAACCTCTGCAGGAGCCCCAGGTTTGGCTCCAAGGGGCTGAACCCATGGCACTGTGCAGCACAGTCATGGTTGGTGGGATCCTGTTGTGAGAGAAAAAACCAGAAACCAGCCAGACAGGATATGTCTGACCCACACAATTTGACTTCTGCTTTATGGTCTTACCAGCACAGTGACAATGTTTATTGGGAGAATGAAAAAGAGTTACAAACATATGAGAGAAGAAAAATTGCATGAGGGAGCTGAACCAATAACCTTCTTCATTGTATTTTAGCTCAAGCACAATAGCTACTTCAAGTGTTTAGAAACACTTTTTAAGTGAATTAGAATTTTACCCTGACTTCTTTGAGGAATTTACAGTTTAATATTCCTTTACCACTAGAGAATTTTACAATCTTTCCCTTGGTGAAAATATTCAAGTTTTGAATACCTTCAGCTCCCCTCCAAAGTAACTTCTGTTTTCTTTATATTTAGTTCCTTTCTTTCAAAATCCAGGACAGTCTACTCATTCTGCAAGTCTTTACCCATTTTTTTATCACATTGTTTGTACTCCAGGTTATCTCTTCAACTACTCACAGAGATTTCAGCCAACTTGCTCTACTTGTTGGTGGCATCTTGAGCAGATTTATAACACAAATTTTGTTTCAGAAAGTATATATACATGGACAATGTTTTGACAGCAGTCAGTTTCTTGTGTAGTTGATAAGACTGTAAAATTTCATCTATAGATGTAAAGCTCAGTTTGAGAGATTAGAGAACACTTCCAGATGTTTAGTAAATCAGGATGTTCTATAAACCTCTTTGTTTATCTGAGACACATTTTCAAAGTCCCGAGGGGGAAATAAGGAAAACCAAACATCCCCCCCTTTATTAAGAAAGCTGAGATATTTCCTCTATACATGATGACACTGTTCTGTGGATGGAGAAATTATTTTATAAAAAATGCACAGAAGAACATTTCATAGCATGGTTAAAATTGTAATGTCTTAAGATATAAAATACAATGAGAGGGTTTTGGGAGTGTACTTTCCATTAACCCATCTGATACACTAAGGAGGAAAAATTAATAAGCTTTCAGGCCCACAGATCATAAACAGAGGAGGCAAAACATGTTTGGAACTGCAAATCAGCAGTGACACCTTTGTGTCCTAAATCTATGTGTGTGCAAGCACAGTGTGCCATTGTGACAGCATTATTAAAGTCAAATATTCTTAAGCAACCTAGGAGGAGTCTGGGTTTGGGTGTCAGCAGGAGTCTTCCCATCAACTTTAGTGGCTAGGTTGATGTCACTTTTGGTAATTGTCCCTGAATTTGGCCCTGAGTTGAGGGCAGCACTGGCCAGTTTCCCAGTGACAGCTTTGGGATTTCCCATCCCTTAAACTCAGGTGCAGATCATGGCTCTCTCCTGGCAATGAGATCTGGTAGCTCAAACTTAATTAAAGGTCAGTCCAACTTAAGAATCCAAGCAAAAACTGGTAAAAATTGGAGACAAAAGCCAAAAAGCAGAAGTAGTTCTGCTCCTGTGGAATCTTCCCAGCGTGCTGTGGCAGGAGGTTTGTAGTCAGATGCTGGATGAGAGAAGCACAGCAGCAGTGACAGTGCACAGATGCATGGGTATGCCACAATGTCTACTGGATTGCTTCAGGAACAGTGGGCTTGTATCAATTTCAGCCAAGTCCAGTTTAATGTCTAGAAGGGCCTCATCCAGCCTCTAAACTGCACTTTTTTTTAATGAGAGCCTGTTAACAGCTACCAGGCATAAGCTCAAATAAAGGCCAATGGTTATGAGCTGATAACTATAGGGAGGCCAGATGTGAGAATGAATGTAAAAGTACAATGGGCTGGAAGGAAAAAAGAAAATGAGGTGTCTACATAATTTGTCAAGTTTCTACGAAAAAAACCCCCACTTTCAAGTCAAAAGCACAACTACACTTGATTTATTCACTGTTGTTCACCTTGCTCCTACCTTTGCCTCTCAGCAGACTAAGCAGATTTTCATGAGTAGATTTCTTGTGTCTATGCCCACGCTCCATTCACATCTATATACATGAGCTGGAGTGGCATATGGCTCTTTAGGCAAACTGGATATCAGTTACACATAAAACCCAAATGTTATTTCCCTGGCTTTGGTGGAGTTACACACTGATTGTTTCAGCAGCACAGTACAATTTAAGTGCTAAACAAACCACAACACCACATGCATATTTTTACTCCCAGTTTATTTTTTTCTGGGTCCCAGTTGGCATTTTCTCATTAGAAATATCAAATTATTGCTCAGACATTTGCTTGTATCACTCCTTTTGCTATGAGCAAAGTTTTGAAAAGCTTCAATTCTTCTCATCTGGAGCCCCAAATTATTAGCTAAAAGTTTGAGCTCCAGTTCACATAACTTCAAGATACCCTTGCTCATGACTTTGCAATTACCTTAGTAATTTAACTGAGTATCTTGAGATTTTATGTCTCTCTCTGTATATCTTGTGTTTTATGTTTTTATATCTTTTCGAAAGATCCTGAATCCCAAATATTCATGTGATTTTGTAGCTGGCATTTACTAAATTTTAAACCCATATTGAACCAGTTAGATCAGACATTCTTTTACCCTAATTCTAGTCAGACCAAAGCTTAGACTTCAAATTCCTGCACTTTGCCCTCTCAGATTCTAGATACCATTATGAAACTTCCAAATATGAGGAGCTGACCACAAATATTAGAAAGCTGCTTCAGAGATTATTCAGGTTTCATGTCAAAAACATACTATTTGCTTCCTGTTTGAAATTTAAAAACCTCAGCTTCCATTCACTTATTCTTCTTGGGGCTTTGCAAACTTTTTTAGAAGCTTTTTTCAAGTTGCTGTTTGTTAAAGAGGACTTGAGAGGACATCTGATTTCAATTTCATTTTGTTCCATATGCTACACTTTGTTAATGTGATTACTGCTTCCACATTTCAGTCTTTAATTAGAATTCGTTACCTGACAGAGCTTAGTTTCAACACCATGTCCTTTCTCTTTTACACGCAGTCACAACATGTTCACAAATTACACTTCAGGTGAAAAAAAAAACAAACCTAACAACCAAACAAAAGAAAACCTTCAGAGTAAGTTGCTTACAGAATAGGATAATAGGACAATAATATGCAAAGGAATTTTCCTTCCTATCAAAACTAAGCATATTCACTTCCAAGCCTTCATAGTCAAATTCATGGAGTTATGCAGAGAGAAGAGTGGCGCCAACGCTGGTTGTAGCACAAAGATAACTGGAAACAGAATATATTTCTTTCTGCCTCCCTAAAGCCCGCGATATTCGGTTACAACTTGTGGATCGTTACACGTATTTTATTACTGCAAAAGTTTTACAATTAAAGAGACGCTGCCTTGGGGGTAGGTGCATTCACTACGCACAGGTTTGCACTATAAAGAATATGACCGGAGCGCCAGAAGTGAACGCGCACCAAGCTGCAACTCGCTTGGGGACTCCGCGTTTCTGGGTGCCGGCTGGGCACGGGGCAGCTGCCCAGACCGGCAGGAAAGCACAGGGCAGCCCCAGGTCGGTGTCAGAGCCGGGGTGACGATGATGAAGGAGCGGCCCCGGACGAGGAGCAGCGCTCCCGTCCCGCCGCCGGACGGTCCCGCCCGGCCAAGGGCGCCCCCCAGCGCGCGAGGCGGGCGCTGCAGGCAGCGACCACCCGGGCTCCGCGCTCCGGGAGCGCAACCGGCGCCGCCGCTCCGCGCACCGGCCCCTGCCTCCCCCATCGCACCGGCCCCTGCCACCCCCGCGGCGGCCGCGGCGCCCCCGCCGAGCCGCACCGCTCCCGGCAGAAACACCTGTCCGGCCGCCGAGCGGCGGCGAGCGCCGCAGCCCCGCGCCGGCCGCTCCTCCCGGGGGCGGCGGCGGGGAGTCTCCCGTCGGGCCGCCCGCGGGGCTCGGGGCGCTCGGGGAGCGGGACGGGCGCGGGCGGCGGCGCTCGGGGCGCTCCTGCGCCCGCCGGGGGTTCCGCCGGGGCGGGCGCGGCGACCGCACCTGCGGGCACTGAGCATGCGCGCGGCGCGGGGCACGCCGCGATTGGGAGCGCGGAGCCAGAGTGGGACGGAGCCGCCGGGAGCCGCTCCATGGGAGCCGCTCCATGGGAGTTGATGCCGACGCTGCCGCCGCCTCGGACCCCGCGCCCTGCGAGGATCCAGCTCCCGCCGGGGACTCCCGCCGGCCGCGCGGAGTCTTCTCCGGAGCCGCGGGCTGCCCGGAGCCGGGCATGACCGGGCGGGCGGCGGGGGCCAGCCGTGCCCCGCTGCCCCCTCGCCGGGGGCCGGGCGGAGGCGGCGCCGCCGCGCTCCCTGCCGCGCCGGGGGTGCGCCGCCCGGCCGTGCCCTGAGGAGCCGCGGCGGCGGCGGCGGCGGCGAGGGGACGCGGGCGGCTCGGCGGCGGAGCGGCCGCGGGACCGGCGGCGGGGCGCGATGAGGGCGGCGGGGCGGCGGCGGCGGGGCGGCGGGGCGGGGCGGGGGCTCCGCCGGGCTTTCTAGGACGCCGGCGCCCCGCACACCCACCATGGATCTGCTGCTGTTGGTGAACACGAGCCTGGGCTCCCCCAACGAGTCCCTGGCGCTGCCCCCCGCCTCGCCGTCCTCCTCGGCCCTCCTGCAGCCGCCCTCCCCCTACTCGCCGGCGGCCGTGGCCGGCCTGGCGGCGGTGGTGGGCTTCCTCATCGTCTTCACCATCGTGGGCAACGTGCTGGTGGTGATAGCTGTGCTCACCAGCCGGGCGCTGAGAGCCCCCCAGAACCTCTTCCTGGTGTCCCTGGCCAGCGCGGACATCCTGGTGGCTACCCTGGTCATGCCTTTCTCCTTAGCCAACGAGCTTATGAATTACTGGTACTTCGGCAAGGCTTGGTGTAACATTTACCTGGCGCTGGACGTGCTGTTCTGTACCTCGTCCATCGTCCACCTGTGCGCCATCAGCCTCGACAGGTATTGGTCGGTCACACAGGCGGTGGAGTACAACCTCAAACGGACACCGCGGCGGATCAAGGCCATCATCCTCACCGTGTGGCTCATTTCAGCCATCATCTCCTTCCCGCCATTGATCTCCGTGTACCGGGACCCTGAAGGAGATGTCTTTCCCCAGTGCAAGCTCAATGACGAGACATGGTACATCCTTTCTTCTTGCATCGGCTCTTTCTTTGCCCCCTGCCTCATCATGGTGTTGGTCTATATCCGCATCTACCGCGTGGCCAAGCTAAGGACCAGGACCCTCTCTGAGAAGCGAACGATGCCAGAGGGGTCCTCCCAGACTGAGAACGGCTTGAGCCGCGCTGCCGGCGGCTGCACGTCCCTGAGGATGCAGCTGGGAGAGAACGGACATTATTCGGCGCACCACTGGCGCAAAGCCTCTGAGCTGGAGGACATTGAGCTGGAGGAGAGCAGCACCTCAGAGAGCAGGCGGAGGCGGAGCCGGGAGGAGCGTCGCCGCAAGAGCAAGAGCCAGTCCTTCTCCTACTCGTACTCCTCCAAGCACTCCAGTGGCCGCCTGTCCCGTGCGAGCAATCGCTCCGTGCAGTTCTTCTCCTACCGCCGCCGCCGGAAGCGTAGCAGCATCTGCCGTAAGAAAGTTGCCCAGGCCCGGGAGAAACGCTTCACTTTTGTGCTGGCTGTGGTCATGGGGGTCTTTGTAGTTTGCTGGTTCCCTTTTTTCTTCAGCTACAGCCTCTATGGTATTTGCCGGGAGGCATGCGAGGTCCCCGAGACTCTCTTCAAGTTCTTCTTCTGGATTGGGTATTGCAATAGCTCCCTCAACCCAGTCATCTACACCATCTTCAACCAGGACTTCCGCAGGTCCTTTAAACACATTCTTTTTAAGAAGAAGAAGAAGAACTTCCGGCATTGAGCTGGAGGGATGGATTTGCCTCGAGCAGGAGTAGAGAAGGCTCAATGCAGAGAAGGCTCAATGCTGGAAAAGAAGGGAGGGGAGAGAACGTGGGGCTTGGGCTTAGGGAGCGGGAAGAGGGCTCGCCCCCTCGGCGGAGCAGGGGGATGCTCTGGGGGACAGGGATGGTGGCAGGGGAGGCTGAGGGCACTCACCACGGTACAGAATGGTGACATGGAGCTGGGGAGCAGTGCTGGAGTGTGGAGGGGTGAAGGGGGAGGGAGTGACTGTGTTTGAACCCTGACAGAGGGCACGGGGAGCCCACAGAGCAGAGTAGGCTGAGACACTGAGTTTGGGAGGCAGTGAGCTTTCATGGGCTCTGGAATTTTGTGGGGGAACAAAAGGAGACATCAGAACGAGAGGGTTAAGTGGCAGTGGTGGTGGAGATTTGAGTTTGTATAAATAGGGCAGCTGGGGCCTATGGTGGGTTTGTCCCAGTAAGGAATTGGCTTTTACTGCTTGTGTGGGCAAGGAGAGTGCAAAGTACCAGGCACTGACAGTGTTTTGAGTTATGAAAGGATTTAAATGTTTGCCAAAAAACCCTAAAGAACAATCCAAACTCTTTTCTAAATAAACCTTTGTACTGTTAAAACCTTCTGAATCATGATTTTGCTCAAGGGATGAAGTCAAACAAAGCAAGGGGTTTTCTTTTCCTTTGGAGGGGTCTTTGCCTATAGATCTGGATGGGAAATATTTTTCCTATCTTCCCATAGTTTTTAATTAGTCAGTGAGACAAATCCAGGAGTCTTTCATTTTATCATTAAATATGAAAAAGGACACATATACCCCATGACCTCATTTCCTTCTGCTGGATCACCAGGCAGTAAATTCCTGCTCCATCCTTCTCAGATCAGTGACCTAAGGACCTTGCTGTCCTGGAGCAGATAGTGAAAAAAAAAATTATTCTGGTGAGCTTGCCTAACATTTTTTGAGATAAAATAAAAAAAAATCAAGTTTCCACTTCTATGCGCCCAGGGGAACTTTTCCTCCCCTTTTTTTTAGTCTCCCTTCAAAGGCTAATCTCAGGGCTGGATGCGTGCTCCTTATTCTCAGGCAGGCAGTTGAAGGCATTCTGATATGCAGGTTTTCAGAGGAAGAGCAATCGCTCCACTACTAAGGTCTTTAAATCCTTCATATTTAGAGTCTTAGAGCAACTAAATCCTTTCTATTTATTTTTTAATGAGAAGCGTACATTGCAGATTGTCAGCGGCGTATGTGAACAAATCTCAAAAGGAGGTGCAGCCGTTCCAAACCTTTGGTGTTAATGTTGCTTGCTTTCCCTTCTTCTGTTTGCATTTCTAGTTTATGATTTTAGAGGATTTTCTTGGGAGGAGAGGCAGAAGAGGGGAGAATAGTTTGAAAAGTTATTAAAGCAAACTGTATATCCCATGGGTTTATAAAATGTCATAAACTGCAATGAAGAAAATGAGAGACAGGGACTGGTGTCTACATTCATCACTGAATGCATACCAAATGTAAGAGTGAGCTGAGCATTTACATCCCTTCTTCAGCTGTGCAAGGTGTGTATTCTGTACATGGAGCAAATACTCCTCCTTTCTGTGTTTATCACTCCTTCCATAGGCAGCAGGGTTTGGCATCTGCCTCAAATGCACCTTTCCACAGCAAACAGTTCTTGGAGAAAAAAAAGAGTGAAATCTAATGCCATATAACAGACTTCTTAAAACATCTGAATAGAATATATGGAGGAATCATCAGATATCCCCCTCCTTACTCCCTCTGTTCTGTCTGAAAGGTGTCTGTAGCCTCTTCTTGTGAATTCTCTGTAGCATAAGGAAAAAAAGATAGAGCAGTCACTTGGTTTCATTAGTTTTTCATAATAAGCATTTGGTTCACTTAACCCTGGCAAAGGACATTGTCAGTGGCTGAGGTTCTGGTTGTTCCTTCAATAGACAGTTTAACTCAAATTCAAGTGGGAGTTCTGCTGAGGTAGGGATTAGATGATTGCATCAAATGCATTAGAAGTTTGCTGGATTTCGCTAAGTAAACAACTGAGATATTTTCAAAGTCCTAAATCTGTAACTTATTGGATGCTTTCTTGAAATAAGGCTCAGAGTATGAAAAGATCTGAGCTTTGTTTAAATAACAAACGGTTTGGTACAAATGCATACCTGAGACAGATAAAGGAGAAATAAAAATAGCAACTGAGAGGACAAAATTACAAGCCATTTCTCTTTTGCAAAACGGAGAGTTCTTATTAAACTTTAGTCAAAAAGAGCTGAAACTAGCTCTTATTATTTGTAGGTAACAATGTAGCTAAAAAGTTCAGGTTTGTTTACTCTGAATAAACTATATAACCACCAGAGCAACCAAAGCAACATATGGTACCTGGCTACTACCTCTGAGCTCCTGGACAGCTTCATTAGAGGTGCCCATTCCTGCCAAATCAAGGTCTGCTTCTCTCACTTAGTGCTCCCTTAGAGGGGTTTCCCAGTCTGCAGACTCACAGTGGTTTGTTTCACGTTGCACTGCTTTTGAAATGAGCTCTGTGGCCTGCAAACACAGTCCTTCCCCCTCTGTTTTCCTGGTAGAATTCAAGTAGTCTATGGAAATGAAATTCTGACAGATTTTAGTGGGCATAAAATATATATGAAATGACTGATGTGCCTTAAAAGTAAGTTCTTTGCAGTAAAAATATTCTGTGGTCATTATGAACGTTAAAGAAATAATGCTTCTATTTTGTTTTTCACTTCCAAATGTTTTAAAGGGATTGATGCAGATACTGAATATCTATAAGCAACAACATAGTTAAAACCAGGGTATTTCTATGCTTTTAATTTTTCTCGTCACAGTTACTCACCTGATTCAATGTCTCAAGAGGGTCTTATTTCTTCTGAGCTAAATGAAAAGTAATATTCATTAATAAAGATGTGCAGTTTACCCCCCTTTTAAGTGCATTTCCCTCTAAATTGGTCAATACAGATGATTTCTATAAAAATTGTTTTTAATGTAACTACTGAATATGCTTCAAGTAAAATGGGGCTGATTTACTTTTTTTAAATACAGTGGTCTCTTATTACTTGTAATAGCTGAAGACTGGAATTTGTAACATATTGTGTGGTGTTGACTTTCCATAAAAAGTTTTCAGCTCTGCTACTCACACTGTGGTTGTGCTTCAACTGTAATAGTGTGCTTCAACTGGCTAATAGTGTCTACAGGAGAAAAATAGTCTATGCAGGTTTTGCTTAAGAAAAAGGGAGAAGATATGAGTAAAATGTGCTGAGTTGTTTCTTTGATCAGATATGATAAACTGGTTGAAACATCACTCTCTACTGTTGTGGAAGAATGAAAAATTGCTACTAAGCCATATCGATTTTAACAAGTACTTGATCTTTAACTCTTCATTTGCTCATTTCACCATGAAGAAACATTTCTGTCATTCTTAAGTGAGATGTTGATGTTTCATTTTCAATTTTCTGAGCGGTGCTGTTGTTGGCTGGGTATTGAAATATCGAACAGTGTAACTTTGCTGGGATAGGAACTCAGTGCTGCTGTCCCTCAGCCACCTCTGTGGGAGTTTTGCGTGAGAGAGAAATGCAGAATTAGCGTCTTCAGGGCTTGAGGCAGATGGAAGGGGCCTTATAAATAGGAGATTTGACAGGATCACAGCTTTAAATCATTGTCTGAAATAAGAATCAGGCCCTTGTTGTTGTTCTGTGCCATCTCTGTTCACAAGAGTCATGTTGCTGCGAGAGCACTGGTGGTTTCTGACAAGCAGGTCTGAGATGAAAGTCTACATGCAGCTTTGCGCACAGTGGCCTGTATCATCCTTTGTGAGTAATCCCAGAAAACTTGAGTGGAATTTACTTGTGAGTCAGGAAGATACTCACAGTGGGCAGTGACTTTAGGAGCTTCCTCAAACGTTGGCTCCTTTTTAGTAAACATGCCGGAGGAATTTAAGCAAACGCTGTGCGTAAATGTAGGAGAACAGAAGGAATGCAATCCTCTCTGCTTAACTCTTGACTACTGTTCAAACCCATAGAAGATGTGGATGAGGGATTTTTTGACTGTATATTTTTAGTATGAGCTGTGTGAAGAACATTTGTGATTACATCTGTTTTTCTGAGAAGAAAGCTGTTGGTCTGTGGTGAGGGTTGGTATTGGCTAGAATAGCATCTGAGAATTGTAAGGATTTTGCAGGAACTGTTGGTAATGAAATCCATTTCAATAGAGGGTTCTGACCCTAAACTATGACTGCTCTCTAGAAGGAGAGAATATCTACAAGCTGTGCAAAAGGAAGACCAGACGCTGTCTGTGAGTTTGTTTTTATGGTTGCTCATTACGACCTTGTTGGTGAGCAGAAAGCAACTAGATGCTTCAGAGAAAAAGCTCTAATTTGGAGGGGGAACAGTGCATGAGGAAATGGCTACCCACAACACTGAGGGAATTCATATTTGCATGCCTTCTTTCTACTGTGGAGAGGTAAAGTAGAGGAAGCTGCCTTCTTCATTGCACAATATGCAATGAAAAAAGCTGCCTTTTTCATAACACAATGTTTATTTGTGTTCCAGATCTGTGGGTCACCTGGGCCACACAAAAGATTTCACAGGAGAAAGCAGAGAGAGGATTGCTCACTTCAGTGTTCAACGCCAAGCTTAAATTTGTCCTTTGTCCTTGAAATTAAGCCAGAAACACAGTTTGGCACTTGGGCCCAAAGGCTATGTAGCATCAATAATGGTACACTGAATATAGTCTAGTTTTAGCAAAAAGCATCAGTTCATATTATACACCCTGCACATCTCTGTTCCAGGGCAGAAGTAGGAGAGTCTGACACTTAAGTCATGTGAGAAAGGAGTAATCAGCACTTTGAAGAGTCACAGGTATATTGAAAATATACCTAGATCCAATTCTGATAACAGAGCTGCCTTTAGTTTTGTGTTTTGTGGGTCCCAATCACTTTGAGCTCATAAGAAAGAACTGGGGAGGTAGAAAACAAGGAAATAGTAGAAATGCTTCTTCTCAAGGAAGCAGAA